GCAGTCTGGAAAAAAGTACGAAAACTGAGTGGTAAATATTCTCCTGACCCGGCTCCTGTTTCTGCGGGTTGCCGGTGTTGATATAGCAAACCCACTAGATGTTGCCAATGAAATTGGCAATCATCTGGTCCGTATTTCTCAGGGACTCCATCTATGCCCCTCATTTCTTTCCTCAAAGTCTGCCAGAGAGTTAGCACCCTTGGACTTTTCTTCTCTCAGAGAAGGACAGTATAATGTGCCTTTTACACTTAAAGAACTGGAGGCAACACTTCAGCTTGCCGATCATCGGCAGCTGGGCCCGACGACTTCATATTGTATGCTACAACGTTTACATCAGTCACCCCTTTGCAGTCCTATTACGCCTTTACAATCTTTTTTGGGTCACAAGGAGTTCTTCCACAGCTGTGGAAATCCGCTTTGTTCTCCCTTTCCGCAAACCAGGCACTACGGGACATGAAACCTCCCACTATCGTCCCATTGCCTCTTACCAGTGCAGTTTGCAAAGTGATGGAACGCCCTAGAAAAATAGACGTTTAGTGTGGTTTTAGAGACACACAACAGCCTCTCCACTCTTTCAATGGGGCTTTCGTAAGGGACGTTCTACCATAGCCCCCTTACTACGCTTGGATACGTATGTTTGTAATGCCTTTGCGAATAACCACTCAGTTATTGCCTTTTTTTTTTTGCCCTTGAGAAGGCATATAAACACAACTTAGAGGTATAATATTTAGCCCAAGCCCACTCCTTAGGCCCTTTGAGGCATCTTCCATCCTTCCATAAGAACTTTTTAACTGACAGGCATTTCCCTGTTCGGGTTTAATAATGTGCTCTCCCGGACTTTATCCAAGCTGAAGGTGTCCCCCAGGGATGTGTTTGAGCACAACACTTTTTTTCCCTTGCTATTAATGATTTGGCCCTAGTCTTCCATCAAATATTTTGGGCATCAATCTATGTTGATGACTTTGCTATTGCCTGTGCAGGCGCTGACGTCATCTTATTACAGTTTCTCTCCAGCATGCAGTCGACCGTGTTTCCAATTGGGCCACCACACGTGGGGTTTTAAAATTTTCCCGCACTAAAACCCCAAATACTTTCACTAGAGCTCTGTCATCTCCCATCCTTTGTACCTCTATGGCTCCCGTATCCCTGAACGTGATACAGTCAAGTTTCTTGGCCTCCTCTTTGATCGTAGGTTATCCTGGAAACCTCACATTACCTCTGAAGGCAACTTGTCACAGCCGGCTGAACCTTCTTAAAACCCCTTTCTCTCTTTCATGGGGAGCTGATCGTCGAACCCTCCTTCGCCTACATTCCACCCTTATTTTATCGAAACTTGATTATGGTGACCAGATCTATTCAGCAGCATCTCCTGCTACTCTCTCTAGCCTTAACCCCATTCATCACCAAGGATTACGTTTTTGCCTTGTGCTTTTCGCTCTTCCCCCGTCGAGAGCCTCTATGCAAGCGAACGTTCCATCCTTATCCGATCGCCATGATGCCCATTGCCTTCGCTACTATGTATGCTCTCATGATCTCCACAATCCTTCCATTTATAGAATGGTCACTGATATTAGTAGACATTCTTTATTTGTTCGCCGCCCCTGTTTACTCCGTCCCTTCTCTCTTCGCCTTCATTCGCTCTTGTCTTCTCTTCAATTACCACCTTTCTATGTACATGTAGCATCTCACTTTTCCCTACCCCCCTGGGAAGTTCCAGCTGTTCGAGTCTGTTCTTTCTCCCTTGCTCGAAAGCCCAACTGTCTACGGTTGCTTCCCGCCCTCTTTTTCTTGACCACTTTCACTCTCATTCTCATGCCATTGCTGTGTACACAGATGGCTCTAAGTCTTCTGACGGCATAGGATTCGCAGCAGTGTTTCCGGACAGCGTCGTACAAGGGCATTTACTATCTTCGGCTAGTATTTTTACTGCTGAATTGTATGCCATCCTTACAGCACTTATCCGTATTGCATCTATGCCTGTGTCATCATTTGTGGTTGTCTCAGACTCCCTTAGTGCTTTACAGGCTATACAGAAATTTGATACACCTCTCCCCTTAGTCCTCCGTATCCAACTTTGGCTACGCCGCATCTTTACCAAGCATAAAGATATTATTTTTTGTTGGGTCTCTGGTCATGTTGACGTACAGGGCAATGAACAGGCAGACACTGCTGCGCGGTCAGCAGTACATGACCTACCAGTTTCATGTAGAGGTATTCCATTTACGGACTATTTTGCTGCAATATCTTCCCAACTTCACACCCGTTGGCAACAACGTTGGTCTACTATGCTCGGCAACAAACTTCAATCTATTAAACCGAGTATAGGTTACTGGCCGTCTTCTTATCACCAGTGTCGAGGTTGGGAGACTACTCTCTCCCGTCTTTGCATTGGCCATACTCGTCTTACTCATGGATATCTCATGGATAGGCGCCCTTCTCCTCTCTGTGAGAATTGCCAAGTTCCATTATCAGTCAGCCACATTCTGTTGGACTGCCCACTTTATCAACGAGCACGCAGAATTTAACTCCGTCGTCGTCTTCGCTCTGCTGCTCTCTCTTTACCTTCCCTTCTCGCTGATGGACCCACCTTTCATCCAGACTCTCTCATTGACTTTTTGACAACAACTGACTTCACAAATTCTGATACCTTCAGCCCTTTCTACTTCAATCTCTTGCTACCCCCTACCCCCGTACTATCCCCTGCCCCGCTGTTTTCTGTAACCTACTGATCATCCCTCCTCCCTTCTGCCATCCAATACCCTCGCTTCCTTCCCTACCCTGCAGCACTGTATAGCCCTTGTGGCTTAGCGCTTCTTTTTGATTATAATAATAATAATAATATAAATTTAAAATGTTAATAAGCTTGAGGTAAGCTTAATCCATATTGGCATTTTACTGTTACTTAGGGAGCTTATGTGTCATCATATTTACCAAAACAACAATGTTTGTCTCATGAATAAAATATTCAGTTGTAGACAAGCCGAGTCTGAAAGTTTGGCTAATGTGTTTGTAGGTAATAAGTACATTTATGTACACAGATAACCTCACTTCCTTGTATCTTCCTCTCTTTGTCCCGTCCCTGACCCCCTCTCTTGTATATACTGGCTCTCTCATCTTCGTGTGTTAGTGTGACTTGGAAATGATCCAAGTCGGACTGAAACGTCGTAAACTTCTCTCTCATGTGCGGGTTGTGTATTGTTCCAGTTACGGTATTGTACCTTTTTTCTTCGTTACATTTATATATTATGCATTTTTTGTATGCCATATTAGTAGCCAAGCAAAGTTTATAAATGTAATGTTACATTATAAATGTAACATTACAGCACCGTGGGTGAAACGCTCCAGAAATAACGCTCACTTAGAAGATCCTTACGACGACGTTTCACCATATCCTGGACCAATGTCAAGTCACAACTTGTTACTTAACAATGGTCCAGGGCGGAGCGAAACAGCGTCACCAGGTTTCTCTGCTAAGAGCCAGTTATTAGTGAATTACAGCAGCAGGGACGGATCTGTTATGAAACTAGTGAAGTTTAGGCTTCAGGGCCCCTACTCCCGGAGGGGCCCTAGAAGCCACTTTAATCCACATTGCTTAAAAGGGTTGCAAAGGGGCCCCGCATAACAGTTCAAGCTTCAGGGCCCCAAAAATGTAGATCCGCCACTAATTACAAGACTTCCATTCACTACACTTTATACACTGACAATTTAACAACAGACTGTGACTTATCTTTACATAGATAATACCGTTAGACGAACTGCAAACACCTTCATCATGAGCTTTTGTAATAGTGAGTCGTACTAGCATCCACGACTATCACGAACTTTGTAGTCGTGCTGGCATGCACAACTATCACGAACTTTGTAGTAGTAGTCGTGCTGGCATGCACGACTCACTAAGTCAGTAATAAGGAAATAAAGCAAATATAACAGGAACTTTGACTTTAATAGCATTTCTGTAGTAGAACGTATGTACGCATATCCTCAGTAAGTGCAGTTAATCGAACAGAGGTTTTGGTGTAGTGAAATGTGAATTGTGTCTCAAGTACAACAGTAAACACGCGATCATGACCAAGTTAGGCAGCTAGTATGATGTGAGCCAAGTGTCAACTTGAGAAGGTCTATGGTAGGTGAAATGTTCCAGATAGATACTTGCCCCAGCCGACCACCCTCACCCTGAGAGGTCAGACAGCCACAGCGCACGAGGTCGACCACACCAGCCAGGGTTGTCGACCACCTCTGGATGACTGGTTACCGTACTTACAGCTGGTTAAGTTGAATTAGAGGGTCATGATTTTTGCATCACGTGCTTCGAAGGTAGAGTTAATACATAGTAAGAAGCAGGTTAAGGGGAAGAGCAGGTGTAATGAGGAAAATTTGAAAAAAAAAAAAACGAGAAAGTACAAAAAACAAATGTTTTCCTACCGAAAAATCGGGCATAATTCTGGCAACATTTGGTGCTGTCTGCCGGTGTATACCATTTTTCAAAGTATTTTTTATCGCATTTTTATTATTATATTTGATGACGGAAGCAAAACGAAACAATGACATATTGTATAATATTTGTATTGTTTTTTCCGAATATTGTTTTCTGTCAGTGTTTATAAAATGCTTAATACGTTGCAGACCCGTGATGCACGCGGTGCACACGGTGCACACGTTAGGGAGAATGTATAGACAGGTATATCTACCACTGGTATGTACCTTGGTGATCAAGGTCCCAGGACCGAAACGTGTCATCCTATACCATATTTACCCCTCGAGGGAGGTTCCTTGATGCTGGTGAGGAGCTCTTGATCTAGGGAATTGGATCTGTTCTCCAGCTCCCTGAATTAAACCTGAATAACTCCCACATCTCCCCCCTCAGGTGCTGTATAGTCCTACGGGTTTAGCGCTTCCCCCTTGATTATAATAATAATACATCATATTTACCATTACAAACATTGAAATGCGTACATATGTACACTTGCAAACACATTAAAGTCATATGTGATTTTATGCAGGAACCTGTGAGTAGCGGACCAGGTGAAAATGGCGGCAGAACAGGTGGCACTAGAACAGGTGGCACCAGGACAGGTGCCAGGACAGGCGGTGGCCGGACTGGTGGTGGAAAAACAGGTGGTGGTAAGACAGACGGTGGCAAATCAGGCGGCAGCAAGTCTGGCGGCGGCGGTGGCAAATCAGGTGGCGGCGGCAAGTCAGGCGGCGGCAAGACTGGTGGCAGCAAGACAGGTGGCGGCAAGACAGGTGGTGGCAGAACAGGTGGCAGCAGAACAGGTGGTGGTGCAGGGGTAGACAAGGAGCACAGCCACCCACCTAAGTTAGTAGACAGCAGTGATGGAGTCAGTGCCCCAGGACACCCATACCCCAGCTCTGCCAGCTCCCTGCGTCTCCTGCCCCCGCTGGACCTGCCCTTACAACCCCCAGACCCCGATGCTCTCAACTACATCAATTACTATGGTACGATGTGTGATTGCTATGAAAGATTTCCTGTTCGTAGTTACAGTTCGTAGTTACAGGAGTGGAACTGCGCGGCACCTCATATCCTTCTGTTTTTTTAAGGGTCAACGTAAGTAACTTAGTATTCAAAGAATATGTTGAAATTTCGTGAACTTTTTGTGATCTCACAGGTTTGTCATATGATGGTGTGTGTGTGTGTGTGTGTCTTTCCGGTGTATGTGATGTATATGGTGTTTATGTATAATTTGTATATGAGGCATGTGTGTGTGTATGTGTGTGTCTTTCCGGTGTATGTGATGAATATGGTGTTTATGTATAATTGTTATTGCTGTTCTTAATGCTGAACAGCGGTTTAGTGCCGATGAAGGTAGCATAGGTAGCAATGATACGGCCGTGGACTAGTTTGGCTTTAATTGGATAGGAGTGAGTACACAACGGGCAGTGTGAGGGAGTGACCGCAAGCCAGTCCGTGGAGGGGGAGCACTTGTGTCTGTCAATTTCGGTCGGCTAGGAGTGAGGGCCGGGGGGCTCAGCCCCCCAAATTGCCCGTGGGGGGGGCCTAAAGAGGGAAAGCCCCCAAAAATGCCGCAAAATATGAATAAGCGGCAGCCCAGCAGGGACTGTCTGCGCAGACATTTAAAGGGGTGGTATAATGTTCGGCCACCAAACCGCGCGTCGTCCGAGCGAAAATATGGGGGGCCCCAAAAGGTATAAAGGAATTACTTAACTACCTCCCCCAGAGAGGGACTGGCTTTTTGCCCCCCCATAGTAAATAAAAAAAAGGACATAAAAATGCAACAGGGGGAAAAAAAAAAAAAATCTCCCCTCCAGGGGAAGAGAAAACTGGTTTGCCCGCGCTGTTTTATCGGGAGAAGCTGGAGAGTAGCATGGAACTAAAAAAAATTCTAATAAGGTTTTTCCGAGGGTTTAAATCAGTTGACCACTTCTTCGAAAGATGTTGCACCCCACAAATTTCCAAAAAAATGACTGACAGTAAGGGATTTTTCCTTTGGTGTGACTGTGACTCAGAGGGCAGCAGCCCTGACCGTAATACAGGTCCTTTTTTTTTTAAAAAAACTGGGGGCACCAAACCCACAATAAAAACTATATCCCTGGAATTTTATTACACTCGGGGTACCTTCTAAAAGTATTTACATTTAAATTTAATGATGGCCACCCTGGGCTTTCCCTTATCCCACTAGCCCATACAAAGTGTGTTTCATTTTACCCATTTTGTAAGCAAACAATTAGCCATAAATAGCCCTAGGAGTCAGAAAGCCGTTGGTACGTCAATGTCACAGAAAAAGTTTGTTGTCCCGGGTCGAGGCCATAAGTATGGAGCCTTATGGGGCCCCTTCCGTTTCCCCGTTTGTAGTGGGAGAAGGGTAGGGGTTGTCCCTAGCATTAGTCTGATTGTGGGGTTTGGGAACGCACGCGACTCCCGTCTGCTTCGGCCTGCCATGGTTCCCCCCCCCATACTTCATGTGATCAAGGGGGGCTTCCCCTTTATGTTCCCCTAGCAATCCCCCCTCAAACCCGAAACCCCTTTTTGCCACGGGGCTGTCGTAGGGGAAGGTAAGGAAACCCCCGAATTTTTGGGGGGGGGAAATTTGTGCATACCTTTGGGGTCTGCCTGGGTTGAGCAAAATTTAAATTTGCAAAAATGGTTCCCCTTTGCTTTTTCCCTGGCGCGGGCATTGCGCTCAGATGGAACCTAAACGTAGTTTCATAAAGGGTTTTCTCGTTTCCCCCTGGAAGGGCAAAACTGCGTTGTCCTCAATTTTTCTTCGCTGGGGTTTTCAGTATCTTAAAATAGGGGCTAGGTGGAGCAAAAAAAATTTCAAAATGGTAAGCGTTGTCATAGCCCTACAAAGCAAAATGATGTTCTCACCGATCGAGTGTTGGGGGGAATTTATTTTTACACCCGAACATCCCCGGGGGATAGCCCCATTCCATGTAGACAACTTGGGTTTTAAGGTTACTCTGAGCACCCCCCAGGACTTTGCGATTTGTTGGGTTTAGCAAGACCCTTACTCGAGGGGGGGCGTGGAGCCCATTGGGCCCCTTTTGGGGGAAGGGTTTAATTTTGGGGCAAAAATCCCGCCCTTATGGCCCCTTTTTTAAACTCAGACCCCCTTGGGCTGCAGAAGGAAAACGGGGCAAGTATGACGAAGAAAAAAACATGTCACGGAAAAACACTAGCGACGTTTTTGGGGGGTTTTATCGGAAGGATCTAATTTTAAATGTTACCCCGTTTAATTTCTAAACCCTTTCAAGCAGGTGCTTATTTTCCCCTTTTCCCAGGTCGAGAAGTTCGTCAATAGGGCGACGAAGTTCTCTCCCAGGGGTCCTTTGTAATGGGATAAAATTTTGAATGGGGGTTGGGACCCGTAATGGTACCCTTGTGCTGTAGGCAAACAACAACACTGGTGTTCTTTCCCTTTGGGAATTTTTCCCCCGCCATCTTAGGGGCCGAAATATTTCATTCGTGCCTGTTTGGGTACTGGGGGTCCTTCCCGGGGTGGCTACACCTGGGAAAAGTGGATCAAAACCCAAGAAATAGTGGTATCCGGGACTCGGTATCACCTTTGGTTTTTATGGTTTGCCGGGGGCCACCGTGTGCAACACGGCACCCGACCTTTTTGGTTTAACCCCTAAATCCTTCCCGTGGAACGGGAGAATTGCCCCGTAATTTAAAAGTCCTTTCCCTTTGGGCAGGCCCAAGGCCCGGAGACCACACGGGTCCTGTCTTGGGCTCTCTCGGGGAAACCTCAACAGAGAAAAGTTGCCCACACTCAGAATGACTTATGCCTCGACAGGGATCGCTACAATTTGCTTGCCTGGGGGCATAGCAAATTTCGGGTTGTTTTTTTATTAACGTTGGGGCGCCAAACCCAGCTTTTCCCGGAGGTTTTTAAAAAACCCAAAAGGGCCCCTAAGGGGAAATGATCTGTTTAAATCTTTAAAGGAAAAAAATATGTTTATCCCCAAAAAAAAATCAGGGCCTGCCAACGGGTACTGCGGCTTGACAACTGCTGTTCATCTACAACAGCGTCAGAGTAGAGTGAAGGTTAGGATGGGCTTCCGAGACTGGGTTTCACTGGTAACTAAGCGCTTGATGGCCAGGAGGTGACGGGCACCGGCTCTACTATGAGGTCAGATCAGGACAGAGACCAACCCCGGGTGAGAATGTGCTATGGAAAAACCACAGTTTCCAACGATTTCCAGGCACTGTGCTATACTCTGAGACGAGTAGCACGTAGTGGATCTATGTGCCGCCCAGAAGGCACATCCACTCCGTTGAATTCTGCTTTCCACTCGGCCTGGATCTAAGTGGATCCAAGGTTCTGCCATGGTTTTGATCCCTATGAGAGGTCACCAGGGAAAACAATTACTATATACGACTAAGAATTGTGCGGACAGCTGTGGACTTGGACTGCAAATTCTAACGTTTTGTACGCCACGAACGTCGCGGATTACTGAGACTCCTCTTCAAGGTCGGAGAATGACAGACGGCTCTGTCAACATGGCTAGCGTTGAAGGCAATGTTCGGAAAAGTGTGGAGAGAACTATGTTAACCACTGAACCTGTATCTAGGAAAAGCTGGACTGGCTTATGGTGGACAGTGGAATCGTTGAGCGGTCCACACAGGTTGTCATACGAAATGTAGGCCATGAACAGGCCGACGAAATCCCGGAGTCACAGCTGTTGAGGCTCGACGTTGTTGACGAGGCTCGACCGGAAGGTACGGTTAAGGGTCTCGGCAACAACGTCAGACACTGGTTCTCACTGTCGGCCAAGCGTATCACTTGCCCAGGGCGGCAAATGCATTGCGGATAGGGATGGAATACAGCCCACTCCGACCAGGGTTACTATGTCTTTCACTGGTTTTGCGACGCGCCTCTTCCCACCGAAACTAGTGGAAGGGCTTCTACGGCAAACAAGGCAATTGGCGAAGGACTGCTTGCCTCCACTCAGCTGACACGCATACTTCGAGCTTGCGACATCATGGGACGGCTATGACTGGAAGTATTGTCGGACATACGACTCCTCGCGAGACTGAGCATGGGGACGGTGACGGTTACTTGATACTGAGCGTGGGGACGGTGTCGGTTTACTTTGCGGGGACTTTAGGTTTCGTAGCACTCCGATCGGTAGTGCCCGCGTTATCCCACAGTTGAAACAAGTCACCACGCACTTAGTAGTGAGGTTGGAGGTGGTTGTTTGCTGGCGACGTGGTTCCTTGGTTCCAGGAGGTCGAATTGATTGCTTTTTTGTATGAGACTGACTGTTGTTAATGTAATCAATATTTTTAACTTGGGCGAGTTGTTAGTGGCGACTGGGTTAGAAACTTTGGTGGGCTGGCTGTTCTGACAGCAGTAGGCAAAATTGGACTTCTGGCTGGGGACTGGCAGGGGTCACCGTGGACGGTCGCCGGAAGGGCATGGATATAGGATCATCCGCAAAGCGACAAACCTTGCCTTGTCGGCAGGTGGCTTGCTGATCACGTAATGGCATCATATGCACCAGGGTCGTCGTGCTGAGGGCGAAGTCTAGCGCATCAATGGCACCTAGGAGGTTAGGGGGGGCGGCATCCCTCCGCATGATGCCGACAGCCAGCACTGGGGATGATTGGTCTTCAACTTTAATACTGTTGTCACCATTCACCCACTTAGTGGAGCTGATGGCATCTAAAGTTTTTGGGGGCTTGCTCAAACCGGCAAACAAGCCGGGGGCTTTCGTGCCGTATTGACATTGGGCCAAGACGCTGGTAACGATTCAATGTAATGGCGTTGGGGCTACGCCGAAAATAACGCCTAAATTCCTCCTTAAAAGTTCGCCCCAAGACAAATCTTCCCCAAACGAGATGAGCTGCAAAAAAGGCCCTAACACCCGGGTGAATCCCTGCGCAACACAGCGGGGAATGACGTGTTGTGGGGACTATAAAATAGAGCCTTTAACAGTCGTCTCGACTGATCCCCCATGGCTCAACCTTTTTAAAAAACTCCGTCAAAAAGGGGGTTTGGGGTTATGACAGTAGCCGGGCCCCATGGTGGTCGAACTTGAGCCCCCCAAGTTGCCCAAAAGCAGGGGGCTTCGATGCCCTCCGCTTTTTACCTAGCGAGGCACCATTGCTACCAGCAAATTTTGGACAATGGTAGGGCCATTGCGTGTCTTATCATGACGTCAATTTTTCAAACGCAAGCAGGTTAAAGAGGGAAAAACCGGTCAGAGCAAGAAATTATGCACTGGCTACAATTCAACACGAGTCAGAGAGACACACCCACGGTACTGAAAAGCTGCTTATGAGGGAATTTAATTTGAGCAAACAACAAAAAAAAAAGTGGTACACTCGAAACACAAAATAAAGAGTATGCAAAAATAACTATAGGGAAGTGCACAAAATGAAGAAAAGGTGGTCAAAAAAATTTTCACCAGGAGACGGCAACAAAATTTAAAAAGGATTGAACTGAAAACACGGGTAGCAAAAAATTGCACAAAATTTAAAAAAAAAGGGGTACTATACTAAACTGTTTTGAAGACGGTTTAAAATATTGGGGCTAGCAGTTGCAAACTGGAATGAAAAAAAAAGGAAATTTCCACTTCCCAAAAAGGGGGAAGTTGGCACAGCAAAGTACAGAGTATGGGATGTGCCAAAAACACAGAAAAAAAAATACACTGTATAAAGAAATGCTATTTTTGCACACAGAAAAAAATTTATTAAAAAACGCAAATTATTAAATTCAAGAAAGGGCAAAGGTTAACTGGTGTTAGCAGGGTGTACACTGGCAAAAAAAAAAAAAATTTCACCTCTCAAGAAAAAAAATTAATGAACTTCACAAGTAATTTTGGAAATTTAAGGGAAAATAAGCAGGTTCCCAAAAATGCACTAAATGACTTGGGTTAAAAAAAAGCAAAATGCAATGCACATTGTGAATATTCACAGTAAAACATAAATATATGTAAAGCAAAAAAAATGGGGAAACGGGAGAAAAAGTAAAATAGGTAGGCCAGATTGTATCACTGCAGGAGAAAAACAAATACTTAATACTTAAAGATTACACTTATTAAAGAAAAAAAAACACACTAAAAAACAAAAACAGTGCGGGTTGTCAACAACCCTGTGGCTAACTTGCGGGTGAACTAAAAAAATTAACACAACGGGAAATTTCTTAAAACTTATGTGAGAGGTAAATTGTTAAAATGTTTAACACTGAACATTTTAAATAAATAAAACTGAGGTTAAGATGCAGAAAAAAAATACGGGAAATTTAAAATTAGGGGGTGTAAAATAAAATACAAAATTTAAGAAGCTGTGGGTTAATGGAAAAATGTGCACTGATGAAAACTAACAATTTACGAAGTATGGCTTCGTAACTGAAACTGTTTTGGGGTCAGGACAGTTAAAATAATGTCACAAAATATTGGGAAAAATGCTAGGTAAGTCACTTTTTTACTTAACTTGATGCAGGAGATGGACAAAGGTACTGGGTCGCAGGTCCTGAAACTTTCCGTGGGCCTAGTAACACTAAAACGCCTCGTAGCATTTTTTTTGCTATGGGCTTCAATGTGTAGGAAAAATTATCAAAATGGACTTGGGAAAACAGGAAAGCCCGGGGGGTTACTCTGGGGAGATATAAAATTAGAAAACGTGGCTAACTCAGCGTGACCACAGCTGTGCGTGGTTTGTTTACAGGTAAGCATGTCGGGGCGCGCTGATTTACTGCGGCTTCACACACGGGGAACAAAACTTTACTGCAACTCGAACGTGCAAAAAAAACTTAAGTAAACAGAACTGGACAGTAAATTTTTACGTAACAAAAACACTGGGGGAAAAAAAAACTGGTGATGAACTGGGAAGTAACACAAGGGAAAGAAAAAAAAAATTTTAAATGGGCAAAACAAAAAAAACTGCATGGCTGGAGATACGAGTGCGGTTTTGTAGACACAAGATCACGGCTGCTTAGAGGTGTGGGGCTAACGAGGGTGTCTTTGGGGGTAAGCCAACTGGGGTTCCCACGTGGTTAACCAGGTAGAAACTTCTTGGGGGAAAATGGGGAAAAACACAACACACATGGGCGGCGGATGGACGTCGTTGCATAGAGAGAAGGCGTAGAGGAGGCTGGGTGTTTACACCTGTTAGGGTATAAACCAACCCCAGACTCCTTGTGGTCACGCGTGGAGCCACGGAAACCAAACCAAAAAGACCTACCTCTACTCTTTTAGCTGAGAAGGGCGTAGGGACGCTGAGGGGGCAAAATGGGCGGGAGTGTTGAAGGGTTTGTAGAGGGGTGATGAGGTGAACAGTGACTGCAAAGGGTGGAGATAGCCGTGACGCCTATGTCCAATTTTGGGGAAAAATCAGGACGAAGATCTATCTCAGGTCCCCTCAAGACGCGGGGGTAAAAAACTCTTTAGGGCCCGCAGGTGCATTGGATGACGATGGGTGATGTTGACTGGCTCCCACCGAGGTGTTGACTGGCATCAACCCCCCCCACCCTGAGTAGGGTCACGATTCCGTTGAAACCCGCTGTCACCACTGTTATTTTCGTTCTTCTGCTGAACAGTGGTTTTAGTGCCGATGAAGTACGTATAGCAAGAATGGCCGTGGGCTAATTTGGGTTTAATTGGGTAGGAGGAGTACACAAAGGGCAGTGGAGGGATGACTGGAAGCCAGTCCTGGGGGGGGAGCACTTGTGCTGCAAGTTTTTCGGGCCCAGGATTTAGGGCCGGGGGGGCTCAGCCTCCCACTGCGTGGGGTGAGCCTACAGAGGGCAGCACCTAAAAAACCGCGAAATTGAATAAGCTGGCAGCAGCAGGGGCTGTCGCGCAGACAGTACAGGCTTCACTAATTTGTATATGAGGGATGTGTGTGTGTGTGTTGGTGTGTGTGTGTTGTGTGTGTTGTGTTGTGTGTGTGTGTTGGTGTGTGTGGTCAGTGAGCAATTTATTGTGAGGGGGACGTTAATAGGTGTAAGGGGGGTGGATTAATGCCTGGGGGCTCGGTCATTTGGAACACAAGTGAAAGAACGAGTCTGATGAATAAAGTGCCATCTGCGAATGAAGTGTAGCTTTAAAAAAGGTAAATTAAGTCAGAACTCATAACACTTATACTCTAATATCTGACCCCCAAAAATGATCAACCTGGAAGGGTTTTGATACATTATTTGTAAATTTTGACGTAAAAAATAATTGCAGGTCTAAATGAATCGAATAGGGGATTTGAGAAACATTCAGTGAAACAAAATGTAGCTTGCTTAATTGGAAATAAGTGAATGCTCACTCCAGCATTCAGCAACGGGAAGGACCATTAGATCATGTTCCATCATATTTCTTGTTTCCAGCAGGTAACGACAATGGTTTCAACGATGAGGATGTGTACCAGTCACCCTATCACTACCAGACTCCTCTCAACCCCGTGTACCGCAAGCGAGGGATGCCTTTTGGTAATGTATATCCCCGATCACATTCCGCTGAGGGAGAGATGCCGCCTAATGGGAACGTGTATCCCCGCCCGTTCTTTCCCGAGCGAGAGATGCCCAGTGGTAACTCGTATCCCCGCCCATTCTCTTCCGCCGAGATTAAGGAGCTCTCCGACATTCTGGAAGATATGAGGTAAGAGCTTGGCTAAGAAATAGCTTTGCCAGTTCATGAATAATTAGCCCTCAGAGATAGTTTGTGAAGGAAGAGTGAGAAATGTTTGAGCACATTCACGAACATTCAACCAGTTGTGTTATCACAAACAGCAGCTGCGACAAAAAATGTCCCAACAGTTGTTTTTTAAACGAGCTGCAGCTGGCACGCGTTTCAGCAGTTTTTTTTACACACACTGTAACTGTGACCTGCAAATCCCAGCAGTTATTATAACACTATAACTGACGTTGTGACAGACATATCCAAACTATATAAGAGATCAGAATCATTGAGAGGTAATTGTGTTTCAAGAAAGCTGCCTTTTTCTCAGCAAGCTGATAGGAACTTAAACACATTTTGTTATTCAATATGAAGAGTTAGGAGCACCTGTCCAGCATATTGACATAAGCTGATAGCTTGCCCAAGATGTTGACATACGCTGATAGCTTTCCCAGGATGTTGACATTAACTATTAGCTTGCCCAAGATGTTGACATTAGCTGATAGTCTGAAAAGTTACTCATCCTTATTTTACGAAATAAGTAACAACACTATACTGTTTACACAGCCCTGTTTAAAAAAACACAGATATCATGTTCCGTACACGATGCTCATTACGGTTCCAAAGATGTTTAGCCCTTAGTTACGATTATAGGTTAGGTAAGGTTTGTCAGGAAACTGGACAAGTGTTTCCTGACGCAGGTCTTAGTCAGATGATGACCCGCCGCTGGAGCTCTTGGTCATCTGACCGAGGCCTTCTACTGGCTTATCGGTCCACCCCTTTAAAAATTAATGATTATTATTATATGATGATAATAATAATTGTTCTTAAGATGTTATCAGGTTAGTATTAAATGAATAAAAGTTACAATACATTGACAGAAACAGTTTACAAATGATTTACTCTTCAAAGAGAGAACTTCAGACTAAGTTTCGATCCATCCCGGAGGATTAAGTCACACAGTCCAGGATGGATCGAAACGTCGTGTAGAGTTTACTCTTTAACTTATAAACTGTGAAAGATAACCACTGATATGCTTTTTGCTGCAGTATAAGACAAGTGTCTGTATCTACAACATTCTTGCATTATCTGATTGCCTTAAAGATGTTGTGAGTGCCAAACAACATCAGTGTTTTAGTCTGTGTGATGTCACGTTTTATGCTTAACAGAACTTACTTTTAGGATCTTTGAGAGATGAGAAACATCACTGTGTTTCGCCTTGGGTGTTCTCAAGCTTGTATTTATTAACTTTAGTGTCCGACTGTTTACAGGATGAAAGAGAATACTTACAAAGCCGACGATAGTGTGATTTTCCCCGGAGGTTATCTGAATGATGAGGACGAGGAAGAGGAGGAGGAAGATGAAGGTGTTTTTGCCGAGGAGCCATCCAGTCCTATGTACACTGAGGCCGGTCTGCAGTTCATCCCTGGGGAACCATCCAGGTCTATATACTCACAGAGAGGTCTGCAGTCCATGTCTGAGGAACCATCCAGGTCTATATACTCACAGAGAGGTCTACAGTCCATGTCTGAGGAACCATCCAGGTCTATATACTCACAGAGAGGTCTACAGTCCATGTCTGAGGAACCATCCAGGTCTATATACTCACAGAGAGGTCTACAGTCCATGTCTGAGGAACCATCCAGGTCTATATACTCACAGAGAGGTCTACAGTCCATGTCTGAGGAACCATCCAGGTCTATATACTCACAGAGAGGTCTACAGTCCATGTCTGAGGAACCATACAGGTCTATATACTCACAGAGAGGTCTACAGTCCATGCTTGAGGAGCCATCCAGACCTATTTACATGCCGAGAGGTCACCAGGTCATCCCTGAGCTAGATGAGGAGGTGAAACTTATATTCTCATTATCTTGTTCTGATATATTAAATTGTTCACTATAATGGCAATGAGCAACAGTCTTAGACTCAGGATATTACATTTAGTCACTCCATTACTGCTGCTGCTGTTGTATACAAAGTCTATAGTGGATACGAGCCTAGAATTCACATATTACTGCTATTGAATATCACACTATAATTATTATGGTACTAGGTCTATAATTTCTTGTTATCATATATTATAACTTTAAATCACGTATAGTAATGTTGCTATATATCAGGCCTACAAATCAGTTTTGTCTATATCTTCAATACGTTGCTTCATGTCCGCCTTACTGCTAAGAAGGTGGACTGATAGATTCTGTTCCTAATATTTCAACGATAAGTTTCAACACTTCTTAGAAGATCACTCAAATTAGAGAACCAAGAATTCCAATCGGTGGTTACTTGGTTGCTGCACAAGCACTCTGGTCAGTTATTAACATAACTCTTAGATCGAGATTCCATACAGTAGTGTGCATATTAATTGGAACAGTGATGAAATAAGACATCTGGAAAATTAATGTTTATTTTGAAAAATACACGGCAGTGACATGATAGATAATTGATTTAATAAAAGATATGACTACTCTTTGCTTTTTAAGCATTGCTACACACTTTGGCATAGAGTCGACCAATGTTGAACACATTTTGACACGTTCTTCATCGTGGTAATAGGTCCTAATAACAGCAGCAATTAGCTTTTCCACAGTTGAACAGTGTTTCGCGATCCTGCGTTTGGTTATTGCCCATAGATTCTCAATTGGGTTGAGATCAGGAGAGTTTCCAGGCCAGTTTAGAACGCATTTTTCTAGCAGTGTGGCATGGAGCAAGATACTGCTGGAAAATGCCTTCTCTATCAGGAAAGTCTATCGACAATGGGAGGCCCAGATTACCTTGTGTTTGTCACTGTTCATCGTTCCCTCAACAATAGTAAAACGCCAGGGTCTTTAGCGGTAAAACTACCACAAAACATCATCTTGGGTGAGTGTTTTGGTCCTTGTTGAATGTGTCTGTTCCCAAGAGGTTCGTCTTTGCTCCGCTTTACTACCACTGATCTGTACCCATGTACTTCACTACCACTGATCTGTACTCATGTAGGTCACTACCACTGATCTGTTCCCATGTAGTTCACTACCACTGATCTGTACCCATGTAGTTCACTACCACTGATCTGTACCCATGTAGTTCACTACCACTGATCTGTACCCATGTAGTTCACTACCACTGATCTGTACCCATGTAGGTCACTACCACTGATCTGTACCCATGTAGTTCACTACTACTGATCTGTACCCATGTAGGTCACTACCACTGATCTGTACCCATGTAGTTCACTACCACTGATCTGTACCCATGTACTTCACTACCACTGATCTGTACCCATGTAGGTCACTACCACTGATCTGTACCCATGTAGTTCACTACCACTGATCTGTACCCATGTAGTTCACTACCACTGATCTGTACCCATGTACTTCACTACCACTGATCTGTACCCATGTAGTTCACTACCACTGATCTGTACCATGTAGTTCACTACCACTGATCTGTACCCATGTACTTCACTACCACTGATCTGTACCCATGTACTTCACTACCACTGATCTGTACCCATGTAGTTCACTACCACTGATCTGTACCCATGTAGTTCACTACCACTGATCTGTACCCATGTAGGTCACTGCCACTGATCTGTACCCATGTAGTTCACTACCACTGATCTGTACCCATGTAGGTCACTGCCACTGATCTGTACCCATGTAGTTCACTACCACTGATCTGTACCCATGTAGGTCACTGCCACTGATCTGTACCCATGTAGGTCACTGCCACTGATCTGTACCCATGTAGTTCACTACCACTGATCTGTACCCATGTAGTTCACTGCCACTGATCTGTACCCATGTACTTCAAAATGCACCTCATATGAACATATAACTGTTCTCCAGTCATCTGTCGTCCATTCCTTATGATCGAGTGCCCACCGTAGCTGTTTTTTTCTTCATAGCAGCAGTCAATAATTGCTTCTTTACTAGCTTTCTGGTAGTTCTGTCAACTTCAATTAGCGTTCGTTGAACAGTTGAAGAATCAACATTTACGCCAGCTGAAATCAAATCTCTGTAGATCTTTGCTGGTTTTCTTTGGATCCTTCACACTATTTCTTGTGATAACCTTGTCATGGTGAGGTGTTGTCTTGCGTTGTTTTCCACATCTTCCTCGACGCAGCGCTCCACAATCACCAATGTCGTCAGCTCTCTCCAGAATCTAACCAACATTTAACTTTGCTAGACTCAGATTTTCGGTGATCTAATACTCAAATCAGCAAGTTTTCTAAGCTACAAAACTTGCACAGTTCCTAGGTGTAACATCTATCCTGAATTTCAGCAGTAGTTACGCTTGGAAGGGGAGAATTTGGCGAAACCAAATTCACTCACGGAGCATGCTTGCAGGAATAGCCTTACAAAACAACAGTTGTTGTAACACTGACAAGAGCCGCAGGGTAACGCCACAGCTGAATGGTTGCCAGAAGTCAGTAGCAAACTCTTCTGAAAAGAAAAGAACCTAAACTACATTAATTAAACCATAGACTAAGGTATACTGTAAGATAATCACAAAATTTACTCTTGGACCAATTAATATGCACACTACAGTCATATCCTCATAGACACCAGTCATTCTCTTGTTGCTCACCTTTGAAAGAGGTTCCTTGAGGCTGGTGAAGGGCTCTTGATTCAAGGAATTGAAGCTGTTCATTCTGTGGATTGAACCTGATTACCCATAATTTCCATGGAGTTGTATGACCCCTTGCACGTTTAGCGTTTCCCGTGCATAATACGATAAATTACACGACTGAAAACAAATAATTTCACTTTTTTTTTCTCCTACGGCACAGAAATTCTTGATGGAGTCTTCACCCAGAGACGGCGCCATCTGGGCCAACCTGCCGGAGAATGTTCCCGTGGCTCCTGGACGCTACCATAACATACCCGAGGAGCTGCGCAACATGCCTTCAGTGTTTGACAACCTGCAGGACCTTGCTGCCGACCCCAGGGACTTCTCTGAGGACCTACCTACTCTCCCTGAGAGCCTGAGGAACTTCCCCGGACTCATGAGTCAGTACGAACCACAAGAACTCTACATCCCCGAGAATATAGAAACTGAGACTGCCTTTGATCGGTATGCCATGCAGGATGACATGCCATATCAGGCTAGTGTGAGAGACGTGCCCCGGGATGCCCTGCTCATTGAAGATGACATTCCAGACATGTCTCGCACGTCACCCCGACTAACAGCGTTAGAAGCAGCGTAAGTATTGTGAGAGGAACACCACATTAAGGGGGAGCAGTATTCAACACTAAAATTTTTACGTGTATAAGTGGAAGATGGGTATTAACAAAGGGGATATAAATAAGGTTTTGAGGATATCCCTCCAAGAGAGAACCCGCAGTAATGGATTCAAATTAGATAAGTTTAGATTTGGAAAGGATATAGGAAAGTACTGGTTTGGTAATAGGGAAGTTGATGAGTGGAACAGTCTGCCTAGTAGGGCAGTAGTGTAGGAAAATGTGGAAAAAAAAAAGACGTGTACAGTTCAAGACATTTATTATAGTAAACGTTTTGCCACCGAGTGGCTTCTTCAGTCCTAAATGTTCTGAACTGTACATGCCCCTCAAGGAAGGTTCCTTGATGTTGGTGAGGGGCTCTTGATTTAGGGAATTGGATCTATGCTCCAGTTCCCCGAATTAAGCCTGAATGCCTTCCACACCCCCCCAGGCGCTGTATAATCTTCCGGGTTTAGCGCTTCCCCCTTGATTATAATAATAATAATAATAATAATAATAATAATAATGAACTGTACATGTCTTTTTTCCATATCTTGTCTATATCACTATACCATTTCTAAGTGTAGGAAAGTTCCTGTATAACATGGGTGTCTGCTGGAGAACAATACCAGAGGGGCAACTGCCCTTCCCTGGAACAGGTCTGGGCAAGGGAAGACAGCCGTAGTGATGTTTTGACCACTCTCTTGTTTACCTCTGGAAACCAGTACCCACCCCTGGAAACTAGTGATCCTCCTGAAAACCAGTGCACCACCCCTGGAAACCAGTGTCCACCACTGGAAACCAGTGCCCCACCTCTGGAAACCAGTGCCCCACCTCTGGAAACCAGTGTCCACCCCTGGAAACCAGCGCCCCACCTCTGGAAACCAGTGCCCCACCCCTGGAAACCAGTGCCCCACCCCTGGAAACCAGTGCCCCACCCCTGGAAACCAGTGCCCCACCCCTGTAAACCAGTGCCCCACCCCTGGAAACCAGTGCCCCACCCCTGGAAACCAGTGCCCCACCTCTGGAAACCAGTGCCCCACCCCTGGAAACCAGTGCCCCACCTCTGGAAACCAGTGCCCCACCTCTGAAAACAAGTGCCCCACCTCTGGAAACCAGTGTCCATCCCTGGAAACCAGTGCCCCACCTCTGGAAACCAGTGCCCCACCCCTGGAAACCAGTGCCCCACCCCTGGAAACCAGTGCCCCACCCCTGGAAACCAGTGCCCCACCCCTGGAAACCAGTGTCCCACCTCTGGAAACCAGTGCCCCACCCCTGGAAACCAGCGCCCCACCCCTGGAAACCAGTGTCCACCACTGGAAACCAGTGTCCACCACTGGAAACCAGTGTCCACCACTGGAAACCAGTGTCCACCACTGGAAACCAGTGTCCACCACTGGAAACCAGTGTCCACCACTGGAAACCAGTGTCCACCACTGGAAACCAGTGTCCACCACTGGAAACCAGTGTCCACCACTGGAAACCAGTGTCCACCACTGGAAACCAGTGTCCACCACTGGAAACCAGTGTCCACCACTGGAAACCAGTGTCCACCACTGGAAACCAGTGTCCACCACTGGAAACCAGTGTCCACCACTGGAAACCAGTGTCCACCACTGGAAACCAGTGTCCACCACTGGAAACCAGTGCCCCACCACTGGAAACAGTGCCCCACCACTGGAAACCAGTGCCCCAGCAATGGAAAAACCAGTGTCCACCACTGGAAATGTTCCAGCAGACATGAAGCCAACTTTCTAAAGTTCTAACTTTGTTTTAATTAGAACCTGTTTTAAACAAATCTTTTTTTTTTATAAAAAGTTCAGTCTTTGGTATTTTTGGAGCAGCAGCCTAGGCTCATTCTTCTTATTGCAAGTTAGATGAAGCATGCACAGATTGAAGCTCACTTTCATTAATTGACTGAGGTTCCTTCAAGGGAGTTTCGTGATGCTGGTGATGAACCATCGAACCCCAGGGATGCAGCTGAAGCCAGTGAGCATCACTTTGCTTCGTGACTTTCGAAAGGCTTCATTTATCTCCTAACTTTCTCCACTCCTGAGTCTGGTAGGAAATCTGCTCGTACTCTAGTTTGCGTCCAGTAATGACGAACCCTATAGCGAATAATTGACGTTACTTGTACTTTACGATGATGCTATCAGAGTGGCATCCTGTGGCAGCTGTGTTTGATGTTATTATACTCGTTACCTTGCTCCGTTACTTTGAGTCGTTCTTTTACAGCCGTTCTTTTACAGCCGTTCTTTTACAGTCGTCCTTTTACAGCCGTTCTTTTACAGTCGTCCTTTTACAGCCGTTCTTTTACAGTCGTCCTTTTACAGCCGTTCTTTTACAGTTCTTTTACAGTCGTTCTTTTACCATTTTTCTCCAGGATTTAGGTTAAAAGAATTTTAGGTTGAGTGTAAGAAAGTAGTGATCTTCGAGTGTTGCAAATAAGGCACACCACGACTTGATACGTCCCATCACAGATATATAACCCTTACCAGCTTAGTTCGTACCTGTTACGAACGTATGGTTTGGTTGACGACTTGTGTGGTACTTGAAGACCCCCGAAGTTTTCTAACTAGTTTAGAGATAGAAGGGGCCGTTATCTGCATTGCCTTTACTGACAGACAATCTTATATAGCTTTGGTTTTCGACTTAAAGAGGAGAGTATAATGGTAAAACATCTTGTTTCTTAGTTCACTTCTCTGGTATTCTGGACAGGTCGCCACTCCACAAGAATTCTCGACAGACAGACGCTTTATGCACCAATAACCCACACATAGGAGAGAGAAGTTTACGACGACATTTCGGTCCGACTTGGATCATTTACACAGTCACACTGGCACACAAAAGTGAGGGAGCCAGTATGTATAGGCGAGCGGGGGGGGGGGAGTCCGACCGAAACGTCGTGGTAAACTTCTAAGAACATAAGAAAGGAGGAACACTGCAGCAGGCCTGTTGGCCCATACTAGGCAGGTCCTTTACAATTCATCCCACTAACAAACATTTGACCAACCCAATTTTCAATGCCACCCTAGAAACAAGCTCCGAAGTGCAAGTCCCACTCAAATCCAACCCCTCCCACTCATGTACTTATCCAACCTAAATTTGAAACTACCCAAAGTCCTAGCCTCAATAACCCAACTAGGTAGACTGTTCCACTCATCAACTACCCTATTTCCAAACCAATACTTTCCTATGTCCTTTCTAAATCTAAACTTATCTAATTTAAATCCATTACTGCGGGTTCTCTCTTGAAGAGATATCCTCAAGACCTTGTTAATATCCCCTTTATTAATACCTATCTTCCACTTATACACTTCGATCAGGTCTCCCCTCATTCTTCGTCTAACAAGTGAATGTAACTTAAGAGTCTTCAATCTTTCTTCATAAGGAAGATTTCTAATGCTATGTATTAATTTAGTCATCCTACGCTGAATGTTTTCTAACGAATTTATGTCCATTTTGTAATATGGAGACCAGAATTGAGCTGCATAATCTAGGTGAGGCCTTACTAATGATGTATAAAGCTGCAGTATGACCTCTGGACTTCTGTTGCTTACACTTCTTGATATAAATCCCAGTAATCTATTTGCCTTATTACGTACGCTTAGGCATTGCTGTCTTGGTTTAAGGTTGCTGCTCACCATAACCCCCATGTGGGGGTTATTTGTGTATTGTTCCAGCCACGGTATTTTGACTTTTGTTTGTTGTTTTAGACACCATATGTTGAAACTTCGCCAAGTTGTTGCTCTTCCTGTCACTTATGTTCTTTTACAATCTGTTGACTCTTTTCCTGGTGCCTCTTACAGTGAAGGTTCGCTACTTGTGTTCACTGATGTCCGAGTTAGTTTAATATCTTTATTATACACCCCATACCCATCCTGTGGGCGGTAGTCAAAAGATTACAGAGGTACATAATGGGTCCAGGGACTGGGCCTCAAAGTTTTGATAGCTGAGCAAGTTACAAAGGTAATGAACTCACAATTTACAAAGGTAATGAACTCCGGGTAGGTCTAGTCACAATCATGACAAGTTACAAAGGTATTTACAGATTACAGAGGTACATAATGGGTCCAGGGACTGGGCCCCAAAGTTTTGATAGCTGAACTAGGTACAAAGGTAATGAGCTCACAAGTTACAAAGGTAATGAATTCTGTAGAATGGTTACTTACGTTTATACATGGCTACAATCATGAACAAATTATAGAGTAATGAGCAATTCACACTTCCACACCCGGTCACAACTGTAGTGAGTTATTGGTGCAAATATTGAGTCACACACACACACACACACACACACACACACACACACACACACACACACACACACACACACACACACAAACACTCATACACACACACACACACACACAAACACACACACACAAACACTCATACACATACACACACACACACACACACACACATTAGTTGAAAAAAATTCGAGGGGAAACCTAAATTCAGTATTTTCTTTTAAAAGTGCCAAACCGTTGTGGATCTACTAGGCACTGTTGCCACACAGATACAAACATAAAAAGATCAAAGTGAGTGTGGAAACGGGTGATCAAGAATTACCAGCGTTTGGTTAACAAGTGAAATGTGGGGCACCGTAATGTGAGAGTGAAAAAGTTAATAAGCAAAAGGAGAAAGAAAAAATAAAATATACAACAAGGGAAGGTGGCAGTAGGCCTACTGAAGCAGTGACGTCACAACAGTCTGTATGCCATTATACATATAAGGTGTAACACCGAATGTGAAGTGTATTCTGTAATATGTGAAAAGTGAAATCACTTGAGGAACGCGGGATGCATGAGCATATATGAAATTAAAACATCACGGGTGAAGGAGTTACAAAATAGTGATAGAAGGCCTATGTACGACGGCTACTGTCATCAGCTTCTGGCAACTTGTCATCACACCGCTGTCAGCGCAAGTATTTCACCTGTTGAGGTTGCATTTTGCAAGATTGAGTCTGGTCCTGCA